TGTCATTCCAGACAGACTGATGATGATTAGATCAGATCTCTGTGTGGAACACTGGCTGCTGTCAGACAAAAATCTCACTGGATTATTACAATCAATGGCAAAATGAAATATAAATTTGCTACTGACACACTACAGCAAAATAAAGAAATAACTGACTTAAAACCATTTTTTAGCTGGTGAAAATACTAGTGTTCTAATAATTTTGGCCACCACTGTACATTTCAAACATATGTTATATTATAACCTGAGAAGATCATTCAATATAAATAGTCTATTGCTATTATTATGACAACTCTTCAATTAAAAAAAAAAAAAAAACTTAAATATATACAATTTTAAATATGAATATTTGACTGAAATTATTTTTTAAAATTACTTTTTTTAAATTATGTTGATTACATATATGTGAGCTTATGCACTTTTGAACATTTTTTTTTTTTTTCTGTTGTTTGTAATAGACACCTTCTTTTTTGTCCATTAGTTATCAAATCCTCTGTAAACACTGCAGGTGTCATGATGCATGGCCTTCAAAGCTTCATATCTTGAGACTGGCAAAGGAAGTTGGGCCCTCAGCACATTCAGCACCCAAACCATTAGGTGAGAGTCTGAATAAGCATTACCCATCACTGGAGCTAACTGTAGAAATTTAAATGGTAAGCATTTATTAAAACATTATACAGTAAAGTGACAAAAGGAGAGACGTAGAACAAGAATCTGGTGGAGTTTGCTGAAAACAATTTGATATTACCTTTTTATCATTTTTTTTAAATATGTCTTTATAGCAACGTAAATAGCATTGGTCAGGACTTTGGTAAGCAATTATTAAACAATGATACAGTAAAGTGACATTACAATCACCACAGTGGTACCTGGGGAGATGTAGAACAAGAATCTGGTGGAGTTTGCAGAAAACAATTTGATTTTACCTTTTTATGAATTTTTTAAATATATTTTTACAGTGAGGTAGTAGATAACATTGGTCATGATTTTGGTAAGCAATTATTAAAAAATGATACAGTAAAGTGACATGACAATCACCACAGTGGTACCTGGGGAGATGTAGAACAAGAATCTGGTGGAGTTTGCAGAAAACAATTTGATTTTACCTTGTTATAAATTAAAAAAAAAAAATTATTTACAGTGAGGTAGTAGATAGCATTGGTCATGATTTTGGTAAGCAATTCTTAAAAAATTATACAGTAAAGTGACATGACAATCACCACAGTGGTACCTGGGGAGATGTAGAACAAGAATCTGGTGGAATTTGCAGAAAACAATTTGATTTCCTTTTTTTTAATGATTTTTTAAAATGTGTCCGTATAGCAAGGTAAATAGCATTGGTCAGAATTTTCGTAAGCAATTATTAAAAAATGATACAGTAAAGTGACATGATAATCACCACAGTGGTACATGGGGAGGTGAAGAACAAGAATCTGGTGGTGTTTGCAGAAAACAATTTGATTTCCTTTTTTTATGATTTTTTAAAATGTGTCCATATAGCAATGTAAATAGCATTGGTCAGGATTTTGGTAAGCAATTATTAACAAATGATACAGTAAAGTGACATGACAATCACCACAGTGGTACCTGGGGAGATGTAGAACAAGAATCTGGTAGAGTTTGCAGAAAACAATTTGATTTGACTTTTTTATACATTTTTAAATTGTCTTTTTAAAAACGTAAATAGCATCGGCCAGGATTTTGGTAAGCAATTATTAAAAAATGATACAGTAAAGTGACATGATAATAACCACAGTGGTACCTGGGGAGGTGAAGAACAAGAATCTGGTGGAGTTTGCAGAAAACAATTTGATTTCCTTTTTTATGAATTTTTAAAATGTCTGTATAGCAATGTAGATAGCATTGGTCATGACTTTGGTAAGCAATTATTAAAAAATGATATAGTAAAGTGACATGATAATCACCAGAGTGGTACCTGGGGAGATGTAGAACAAGAATCTGGTGGAGTTTGAAGAAAACAATTTGATATAATTTTTTATATGACAATCACCACAGTGGTACCTGGGGAGATGTAGAACAAGAATCTGGTGGAGTTTGCAGAAAACAATTTGATTTTACCTTGTTATAAATTAAAAAAAAAAAATTATTTACAGTGAGGTAGTAGATAGCATTGGTCATGATTTTGGTAAGCAATTATTAAAAAATTATACAGTAAAGTGACATGACAATCACCACAGTGGTACCTGGGGAGATGTAGAACACGAACCTGGTAGAGTTTGCAGAAAACAATTTGATTTTAGCTTTTTATACATTTTTAAATAGTCTTTTTAGCAACGTAAATAGCATCGGCCAGGATTTTGGTAAGCAATTATTAAAAAATGATACAGTAAAGTGACATGACAATCACCACAGTGGTACCTGGGGAGATGTAGAACAAGAATCTGGTGGAGTTTGCAGAAAACAATTTGATTTCCTTTTTTTATGATTTTTTAAAATGTGTCCGTATAGCAATGCAAATAGCATTGGTCAGGAATTTGGTAAGCAATTATTACAAAATGATACAGTAAAGTGACAGTAAATTGCATTGGTCAGGAATTTGGTAAACAATTATTAAAAAATTATACAGTAAAGTAAGATGACAATCACCACAGTGGTACCTGGGGAGATGTAGAACAAGAATCTGGTGGAGTTTGCAGAAAACAATTTGATTTCCTTTTTTATGATTTTTAAAAATGTGTCCGTATAGCAAGGTAAATAGGATTACTCATGAATTTTGCATGCAATTATTAAAAAATGAAACAGTAAAGCAACATAAAATTTACCACAGTGGTACTTGGGGAGATGTAGAACAAGAATTTGCAGAAAACAATTTTTTTTTTAATTAATTTTTAATATTCAATTCCAACATCAAGTGTCTCAGGCCAATGTTATCTACGTGTGTACCAATAAATGTAGCTAATTCATAACTATTGCAGGCTTGTTACTGGTCAGCTAGCTAATATCTGTCGTTTATCATGAGTTTGTTACCTGTAACGAAGTGAGTGTTACAGATCCTTGAATTCTTGCCTGGCAGCCAAGCCTCTCTTCGCACAGCGGTTATCCATGCTTGCCGTCTCGTCTGGTCTTTAGGAAACTGAAAAATTGTAGGAATTTTTTTTATTTTTGACAAGGCGTTTGTTCCAGAGGTCAGGTTGCATCTCACAGCACAACAAGCTGAGCCCAACTTCGGTCTACTCATCACCTTAACTTTAACTGCGTTTGTAGTCGGCGCCATATTACTAGTGAGACCACTGATCCATATATAATGACTATAAAATATTATATAATTATAATATAATAATAATAATAATATATTATAATATAATTATTATATACAGTGAGTCTGACCAATAAACAAACACAGACCGGAAGTTAACTTAGGGCCAGACGCGTGACTATGGCACGCGTTCGATTAAACCGTCTATAATATTAGATTTTGGCGTTTTACCATCAATGAACACTTGTTTTTTGTGTTAGTGGGAGAAGATATTTTCTGAAACGCAACGTGATGTAGACGCTGAAAAGAGGCAAGCTTTACTTTTGTCTTTTTAACTTACTCGTTTATTGCGTTTGTTGTCAAAAAAGGAACTTTTAAAAGGAATTTCTGAATCGCTAAGAATAATGCTTCAATAATTAGAAACGTGTTATGAATACTTATGAAAACGTCGAGTTTGTTCCCCCTACTGAGAAAAAAAAAAAAAGTTCGGTCACAATATTCCCATATTCTCTATAAGGGGCGGCCCGGGCCTGGGCGCGGGTTACTTTTGAGGTTTGGTTTATATTATATTCTAAAATACATCGGCTGCATGTCTATATGTATGTATTATCTGTCTATTAAGTAATGGCGATCTCAATTCAGACACACACGCAAAATTATTCCTATATGACAACGATTCCTCTGTCTAGTAAACCTTCGAAATTATGATCACAACAGTAAATTTAAACCTGCGTTCCCTCTGCCGCTGATCCGGAGAGAGCGCCATAAACTGATAAGGTAGACATGCAAAATGTGCAGAGCGGTGGATCTCCAGTTTTAAAGTGTTTGATTTTAACATTTTGTGTTGTTTCTGTTATATTTCATTTTAATTGTGTGAGGCAATATTGAAAGTGCCAGATTTTACTTCCAAAAGTAATGTATAAAACAATTGAAACGCTAGCATTATCAGTTATTTCATGCTGTTTAATACTGTTGTTTTACTCTCCATCCATCTTTCCATCCATCCAGCTGTGCAACAAGTGATGGTGCAAGAACTTAGAACAGAATAATTGGAGGTAACAGTTCATATACAGGTTCATCTCAATAAATTAGAATGTCATGAAAAAGTTCATTTATTTCAGTAATTCAACTCAAATTGTGAAACTCGTGTATTAAATAAATTCAATGCACACAGACTGAAGTAGTTTAAGTCTTTGGTTCTTTTAATTGTGATTATTTTGGCTCAAATTTAACAAAAACCCACCAATTCACTATCTCAACAAATTAGAATACTTCATAAGACCAATAAAAAAACATTTTTAGTGAATTGTTGGCCTTCTGGAAAGTACTTTTGAGGTTTGGTTTATATTATATTCTAAAATACATCGGCTGCATGTCTATATGTATGCACGATCATTAAGTAATGGCGATCTCGATTCAGACACACACGCAAAATTATTCCTAAATGACAACGATTCCTCTGTCTACTAAACCTTTGAAATTATGATCACAACAGTAAATTTAAACCTGCGTTCCCTCTGCCGCTGATCCGGAGAGAGCGCCAAAACTTATAAGGTAGACACAAAATGTGCAGAGCGGGCACGTGGATCTCCAGTTTTAAAGTGTTTGATTTTAACATTTTGTGTTGTTTCTGTTATATTTCATTTTAAATATGTGAGGCAATATTGAAAGTGCCAGATTTGACTTCCAAAAGTAATGTATAAAAAACACTGAAACGCCAGCATTATCAATTATTTTATGCCGTTTAATACAGTTGTTTTTCTCTCCATCTTTCCATACATCCAGCTGTGCAACAAGTGATGGTGCAAGAACGGAATAATTGGAGGTAACAATTCATATCTATTTTTTTTTTGTTTATTTCACACTTTACTAATAATTGCTTACAGGTGTGGAACGACATGATGGTGAGTAATTAATGACAGAATTTTCATATTTGGGTGAACTAAACCTTTAATATGATGCTCCACCTAAAAATGAAAATTCTGTTATTGTTTACTCATCCTTGTGCCGTCCCTGATACATATATAATCTTAATTTTCTTCACTTTAAAAATCAATGCAAAGTGAATGTGACTGTAATCCATACGTCCCTGTATGAATCTCTTCTGAGCTAAAAGTAAAATGTGTTTGTGAAAAAAAAAAAAAAGTATTATTTCAAACTATAATCATTGCTTTCGGCCAACTGTCATCCATCCATTCATGGGTTCATGCTTAATGTAAATGTCAACACATTGTGAAGTGTGATGTGTGTTGTGAAACTAAAGGAAGAGGTGACAATCCTAAGTGCTTCCACATCACTTACGTGAGCTTCAGAAGACACTTGTCACACTTCACAACATCCTGATAAATCACTTAATGCAATCATGAACTAATGTATGACAGTCAGCCCAAAATATAGTTTTTTTTAGTTTAACAAAATTTAAAAGACTTTTTTTTTTTTTTTTAAATAGGCCCGTTGTTTTCCTTCAGAAGACATTGATTCATTAACTGCGGTCACATGGCTAATCATGTTTGTGTTCCGTGGGGTTTAGGGTCCCATTCACTAGCATTATATGAAGACAGAGATTTTTTTCCCCCCTAAAAATCTGTTTATCTAAAGAAAGTAATTCATTAGGCACAGTGTGAGTGTGAGTAAATGATGAAAACATTTTGGGTGGAATATGTCTATCTTACAGCATATGAAATAAATGCTAAATTAGGTTCTGATCAGGTGACTTACTTGGCTATTCTACAATTAGCTTTAAAAACTCTTGTCGCTTTAGCAACAGATCATTGTTGTGGTGTATAGCAGCAGAACCTGAGCAGATTTTTCTGTTCTCTTTCCAAATTCATTTTGCTTCCAACTTCATTTGCCATCAGCAGTTTGTAACGGTGGCGGCTGCCCTAGCACAAATAAACTCTATAAGGAAAATATTCGGGCGCCAGTAAGGTTTTAACCCTGACAAAATTTAAATTAACCCAGGATAGCCAACTAAAACACCACCTGTTATAACATTAAATCACATAGACAGTCAAAAAATAATACTGTTCAAAGGGAAAATCATTTATAAATTATCCATAGAGGAAAAGGAAGAGGGGGAAGAAAAAAAAGGAACATTAAATAAGCATTTGGTCATTTCATAATTATCAAACAACAATCTCAAAGCAACAATAATCATTTAACACTCATAAAAACAATAAGCACACCGAATGTGCGAAAGTGAATGTGGTGCGAGTGCGTGCATGTGTAGTAGTGAGTGAAATGAGTATGTGTAATGGCGGCAGAGAGGTACTGACCAAGTTTGCAGTCATGACGAAAACTGGAGAGTGTAGCGGGATTTTCAGACACCAGGACAGGTGGATGAGCAGCCGATACTTGTCTTCAGAACAACTTTAAGTGCAGACGATCTGGCAGTGCCACGTTTAAAAGTAATTTGGAACGTCACAACGCACCAGACATCACTCACAAGAAAAGCAACCGTTTGAACAAACAGCCATCTTTCCACCTTCGCAGGGTTCTCCACACAATCACTCCCACACTACTGCAAACTTTTACAGATGACGCCATTACTCTCAGGTATGACTCACTTCCTTATATCCTCCTTCCTTCCGCTGATAATTGAAATGCTCTACCCCAAACACACAAAGTGAAAACGAAAGTAAACCAAAATATGTTGTGGCACAACATTTTCACAGCCACACTCTCCCTCCCTTGAAGAAAACAACCCATGGTTGTTTAAAAGAAAGCATGGATTAGAATCCTAAAAATTCTTCCTCCTCATCAGAGGCTTCTTGAAACAGGTCAAAGAGGTTTTGTTTTTCCTGGGACTCCAATTCTTCGGCTGTTGGAAAACACATTTTTAAATTACAGACATGTGCTGTCCGGACATCTTCTCCCGTGTCTTCCAGGGCTATTTCATAGTTCAGAGGACCCAGCTGCTTCAGAATACGGTAAGGTCCCTTCCACTTCGGTGCTAGTTTTGCACTAAAATTATCTTGTGCACTAGACTGTGGGAAGTTACGTACCCATACACGATCCTTGCTCTTGAATGTTAAATCTCTTCTCTTTTTGTTGTAATTTCTCAGTTGTCTCAATTTTGCTTTCTTACTGTTTTCTTTGGCTTGGGTTTGTAAGTGATGAAGATGATGGACCACATTGTAGGAAGCAGTGTCTGGAGTCAGATTGAGGCCATGAAGCACCTTATCCATTGGACCTTGGAGTTTTCTGCCTAGCTGGAGTTCTGCTGGAGATAGTCCAGTGGTCTCTTGGATGGCTGAATTCAGGGCGAATCGGAACTCGGGTAAGAACTGGTCCCACTTCTTGTGATTTTCATCCACATAGACTGACATCATGTTTTTGAGGGTCCGATTTACTCTTTCAGTCATGTTGGTTTGCGGATGGTATGATGTAGTCAGTTTGGGAGTAATGCTCCAATTCTCACAAAGTTCTCTGAACACAGCTGAGACAAACTGAACTCCCCTGTCTGAGAGGAGAAAATCTGGTACCCCCCATCGAGTCAGGATCTCTTTTCTGAAGATAGAGGCAACATTCTGGGTAGTGGATTTACGCATGGGGAACAACTCAACCCAGCGAGAATAATAATCGACAAAAACGAGCAGGTACTCATTTTGGTTTGTACTTCTTGGTAGTGGACCCATGATATCGACTCCCAGCATTTGGTTTTGGTGAATGGTAGTGGTTTGCTGCAATTTTCCAGCAGGTTTTTGATTGTCATGTTTTATTATTTGACATTTCACACAGGTTTTCACATGACGTTTCACATTGGACCACATGCCTGGCCAGAATGCTACTTCTTGGAGTCGTTTGTACGTTTTATAGATTCCTGCATGGCCACTAAGAGGACTGGAGTGGTAGTGCTGCAGCAGAGAGGGTCGAAGACTACTGAGTACGTACACTCGGTAGTGCATCTGGTTATTTGGCAGGTACGTTTTCTGATATAATTTGTCCTCAACAACTTCAAATTGGGCTTTCAAACTTGCATTGTTCTCTGCAACTGCTTGCATTATTTTTGTGACTTCAGGATCTTTGTGCTGTTCCTCCCACAGGACAACATCTGATAATGGCAGGTCTGACTCCTTGTGGCTGGTGTATAGACTGCAGCTCGAGACTGGTAAAGACCTGGATAGTGCATCTGGGGCTACATTGAGTTTTCCTTTTCTGTACTCAATGATAAAATCAAATTTTTGCAGTCGTAGGACCCAACGGATGAGTCAGCTGGTGGTTTTAGTGGAACCCATGACCCATTGTAGTGCAGAGTGATCAGTGACAACTGTGAAAAGTTTGTGTTCCAGGTAGTGTTGCCATTTCTCTAAAGCCCATACGATTGCCAGACATTCTTTATCTGTTGCCGTATAATTAAGTTCAGCTCCTGTTAGAGTTCTACTCGCATAGGCGATGACCTTCTCTTTGCCCTGGTCTTTGCTATTGGGGTCCATAGCTACCTGCCAATAACCACTGTTGAGGTCAATAGTGGGAAAAAATAGCTGCTCCAGAGAGTGACTCCAGGATTTCTGTGATGTTTGAGGGAGGGTAGGCATCACTTTCTGTTACAACATTGACCTTTCTGTAATCCACACAGAATCTAAGTTTACCATCTTTTTAGGTACCAAAATCACTGGAGAGGCCCAACCAGAGTGGGATGGCTCAACAATTCCTTGTAACAACATTTCCTCAAGTTGTTCCTCCATGGCAAGTTGTTTAAAAGGGGACAAGCGGTATGGTTTTTGCTTAATGGGTACCTGACAAGTGGTATAAATGTGATGCTGCAGAACATCAGTGCGTCCATTCCGGAGAGTACATACCCAAGGGTTGCTTTTCAGGATGTGGAGCAACTGTTGTTTACCATCTGGAGGTAAATGAGCTTCATTCACTGCATTTTTGATTAACATTTCTTCATTCATACTATCAGGTTGGTGAATTAGCAGTTGAGGGGTTGGAGGTGGAATAGAACTCAACAAGGACAGATTCTGTGTTGATTTCTTCTGTTGCAGGTATTCAGATTGTGGACTCACAATTGGCACACTGGCATTACCTGGTTGAAAGGGGTACTCTTTTGCAGGGGCAAACTTGAAAGAATATTTTTGATCTGTGACATTAAGCTGCATTCCACTGAAGAAAATAAAGTCCAACCCAAGGACTACAGCATAAGCGAGGGCTTGTGATGATAGAACAGCAACAGGTATAGTGAAATCTTGTTCGTGGAGTTGTATAGTGGTATTCATCCAGCCTAATGGAATCTCTGCTTCTCCATTTGCTAGGTAGAGAGGACCACTGGACCATAGATGGAGCTGATTTGGTGATGTGAGTTGTCTCGTGAGACTTTCATGAATAAGTGTATAACTTGCACCAGTATCAACAATAATCCTGACATTCGGTTAAGTACAGTAGGGGGTCTGCATCGTCTGATGGTCTACCAAAAGTGGGAAAAGTTCATTTAATATGATCACTTTTTACTATAGGTGTGGGAAGAGGGGTTGAAGAAGTTGAAGGAATTGCTGGAGTAGACACAGATGGTGGAGTTGAAGTAATGGTGGTGCTGGGAATTTGTGGTGTCAATTTTTGTTGCTCGTCCATTTGATTTTTGAGATCCAGGAATCCTTTTTCCGTCTCATTTCTCAATTCCTTTACACACATAGGAAGTTTGTCAATTTGAGTGTCACGTTGCTGAAGTTCTGAAGTAATATGATCTTGGCTTGTTTGAAATGTGTGTTGAACAGCTTTGATGTCCTGCTGGACTTCCGACTGGAGTTGGTCTACCATGAATCGCATTTCTGACACCAAGGTAGATTCCACCTTTTGGAGTTCAGCTGTAATCATTTGCTTCATAGCTTTAATTAACTTGTCTATTTCAGATTCCTCTTGTTGTTTGCTAGTGGTCAACAGAGTGAAAACTTGACTCTTGTTATCCTCAACTTTTGCAGCAAGGTCCGCAAATTGATTTTTGTTTTGAGAAGAAGTGGCTTTCATTTCTTGGGTAAGATCATTCACTGTTTTTTCTTGCCTTTTCATGAAGTCAAATAAATTTTCACAGTTCCCTTGTACCTGAGAAGTAAACTTTTGAATTTCTCTTCCAGGAGTTGGTAGAACGTTGGGTAGGTCGTGCTGTGCACTTGAAAGAGATCCTCCTTCGGATGATGTGCATAGTTGCATGTTAGCCACTTGTGGTGCCCAGGTGAGAGTTTGCACGGGAGTGCTGCCAGCCAGAACAGGAGAAGACAATAGCATATGGGACACAGGATGCATGGGGCTGAATGGAATATGGGTGTTATTCACTGCAGAGACCCCAGGCATCAGAGGTCGCACTGCTGGTGGCCATAGAGGAGTTTAGATATCGGGAGGGTACTCCATTTCTATGAAAGTGGATGGGGAAGGAGGGGTAGTCGCCATATGTTGTGTTTGTGTGGGGGAAAGAAATGTTGGGCAGAAAATCAGTAAATGTAAAGGTAAATCAGTAATTGTATTTGTCAGTAATTTCATGCACCACACTTTTCACAAAACACCCACATACAATATACAAATGGTTGGTAACCTTTTAAGCTTTTCCAAATTACACTCCCGTAATAAAAAAACACAGAATTTCCAAAAACACAACTGTTTTCTTTTAAGGGGAAAAAAAAAAACGTAACCCTTCAACAATTTACCATACGATTTCAGTAATTCCCCAACAAAAACAATTCACAAAAATAAATGTTCAGGTTTTCAAGTATTCAAGTTCTCATAAATTCTCATAAAGACTCATAAAGTCTTTAAATTCGACGATCAAACATCACTCACAGGAAGCAATACTCAGAGCGGCCGTATTTCTACTCCTCCCGGGAATCCATTAACGCTCAACCATGCACCTGCAACCTTGCACGCAAACTTTCTGATGACGCATTTTTCTCAGGTATGTCACATCTCCTTTATATCCTCCATCCTTCCGCCGTTAATTGAAAACTCCGCCCCAATCCCTCAAAGTGAAAACGAAAGTAAACCAAAAGATGTTGTGGCCCAAAGTTTTTGCACTGCCACAAGTGTCAGACAGACTGATGCATAGAAATAGTTTGCTGCAGAGTTATGCTATTACATTCTAGCCAATGATTTGCTACACAAACCTGATTGAAGAACAGATAGCAGCATCAACAGAATGACTAGTTTTGTAGTCTGACTGACAGAGGACAAGCAACACAGCTTTAGCAATGAATGGAAGAAATTAGGTTTCATACTGTATATCAGAAGAAAGGAAATTGGTTCCCTTTCATGGGAACTTCGAACTGCGTCCTCTAGGGGGCACTATGAGGAACGCCTCGTCGTGACCCGTGTCTGAAGCATACATTGAAAAAACACCAACTCATTGGCCGGCGACAGCCATGACGTCACTACCGGTGCGACTATAGTATAAATAGGCGCCGGG